AAATACAAATATCGAAATAATAAAATAATACTAAGATAAATAATAAACTAATAAAATAAAACTGTTCTATAACAATACCGTCTGTGAACTTAAATCCAGTAAAACAATGTGCCCATTATATTCTTGTTTTGTAAATGAATTCTAAATAATTTTAAACATTAGGATAATTATATAAAAGTTTATTGAATCATTTTTAAAATGCATCTTCAATAAAACTATTATGACAATAATAAAACTCATCTAAAAACTTTTTATACTTATCACCTAGAGCTTTTCTGAGATTTTTATATAGATTCTGCATAATATAATATACACAATAAATGGGATATGTAGAAAAAAATACTTTACGAATAGCTAAATCAACAGCAGAATCAAAATCTGTAAGTATAATACCTGAACTTATTTTAGTCGCTTTTATAATTTGCTCAAACATCCATGTATGTGATTCAAGGCTTTCATCAACCAAAAGATCTTGTGCAAATAATATATTATGTTGGTCATTATTAAACACCACAAATAATGATAGTGCTATTCCATATCTGTTAGTTTTTTGTGTAGTATCATTAAAGACACAATCTGAATATTACATCCAGTTTTTAATTTGTTTCGAGGTTATCCACATTAAGTGTGTTAAGACATTATCTTCATTCCAACCTTGTGCTATATATCATCAAAAATCAAGCGCTTTTTGCTGATCAAGCTAATTTAAAACCAGAGATACATCATTTGATAAAGACTTTTGTGTTGGACAAAACTTGCTTATTGCTGTATAAAGATCTTTTGAATATATAGGATGTAATGGATATTTATTTTCAAGAAATTTTCTTTGACTTGTTGCACCAAATTTACAAAAAACAGTTATAAACTTAATATCATCTAACATTTTATTGTTAAATTTTTTAGATTCCTCAAAATCGATCATTTCTTTACTCAAAATATGACTATGTTCCTCTTTAACTTTATTAATAAATACAAGCCCCTCAGGATTTTTAGTTTTTGAGCATGAAGCATTAACCAAAAATAGACATTAAATTTTTTTTGAACCCGTATTCTTATTTGAATTTGAGTCATAGTTTTGACTATAACAACATATAAAGGTTTGTTGCTAAACAATAGTTTCTTCATAATAAACTCTATCCTTGATTATTTTAAAACCTTGCTTCTTGGCCTAGGCATATAAAAATGCTTCACATAATTCCCAGTTAGGAAAAGTTTTTCCTACATATAAAGTTACCAGGTTGGATTCAATTATAGGTTTATCTAACTCAGAATTATCTATTGTTTAATAAAATAAACCTAGAAGAAAGTTGTCAAAAGGATTAGTGAATTACATTGTTTAGTATTTTTATAGTTACAATTGTTAGTATGACACCATTTTTTTTGTTTATTATGATGTA